AAGTCGAGATCTAGAACAATTGGGTGATTATAAGCCTTAACTAGAACTAAATTTTTTATATACCAAATTGGTTGCATTCAAGTAACTAATTGACCAATAAAATATAAGATATGCATTTTCACTCACCTATAAAATTGCCTCTTATAAAAATTTTGATTTTTCATTTAAGGTCCGTTTGATATGCAAATGTGGAAAAGAATTTCAATTCTATGTTAGTTGAAAAATAAAAATTCACCAAACTTATAGGAATTCGTTTTCCGTAAAAAAATAAAGAAAATACAGCTTAAAGTGGTTGTAGCTTGGAATTCAGCTTCAATTTCCACGTTGTAATCAAAAGACCAAAATGAAATTCGTTTTCTTCGAATGTGATATTTTTCATGAAATTCGTTGTAATTAAACAGAACCTTAAAATAATGTTATTTGTTATTTTTTTTTTATTAAGTCTAAACTCATATTCACGTTCCACATTATATTATAAGGTTGATAATACAAATAATTTTTTTTTTTTGTGATAAAATTTTATGATAAAAATTATGAATACTAAGAACTTTATGTGCTTGTTTGGTAGGAATTTTTGGGGAAAGAATTGATTTTTGAACAGTGATATGATGAGAAATGTGAGGTTGAAAAAGAAGAAAAAATTATTGATGTGCTGAAAAATATTGATTTACTGTAGAATTTGAGAATAAAAAATAAACACACCCTGTGATTAAAACTACAGTTTCACGTGTTGATAAAATATTAGCAAAATTTTATCAAACGAGGACTTAGTCTTAATGTGGAAGTTTCGGCGATAATTCCTTTTTCTTTTCAATATTACTTGCAAGGACTATGACAGTGACCACCCAACAGTCACGCCAGTAGGTCCTCAGTTTCCGTGTGAACTTGTGTAATTGAATTTTGTCGGTGCCTTTTTTATTTTACCTTTTTTTTTTTTTTCAAAAATGAATGGCGATTTGATGAAGAATGTGTGGTTAAAAAAATAAGATTTTTTTTTTGAATTTATATGTGATGCTACCAAAAATCGTACATGTCGACTTCCAAGATTGACGACTGAGAATGAGCACGAACGAGGTCTCCCAATACTTGAAACAAAGGCGTAGATGTGTGTTCTCGTCGCCTTTCCGATACTTAAGTCAGAGAGAGGGTTTAAGAAAAGATATGTGCTGAAGAATTATGTAAGAACGTACCTTGATAATGATTTGAAATGATGTATTTATAGATGTAGGTATTGAACTCCTAATAGGATTACAATGTTGAAATCTCTAGGAGTTCTAACGTGATTGAAAGTTGTAACTTAATTGGCTTTGTATTATCCATGTGTTTGGATGAGGATGAGACTCCGATAGTTGAATCCTCTTAGAATGATGTAACACATTTCCAGAAGGGCTCTATGCCTCCTAGGGCATCTTGACGCGAAGTAGGCTTCGATAGCAAAATTAGGAAAGAGCCATTGATCCGAGCTCGAGGACTCCTGACCCGAGGAGGTCGTGAAGTTCGGGCTTAGATGGGCCCTGAAACTCCTCGGGTTGAGTGCTCGGGTGATCATCAAAAATTGTTATCATCAATATGTAATATTATTTTAGTAAAGAATGCGTAGTTAAAAATTTATTTTGAAAATAATTGAGATCAAACAATGGTTTAAATTAAAACTTTAGCGACTTGATTAGAAATGAGATAATTGCATAGCCCCTGTTTAAGCCACATTTTTGGGTCAAAATGTATTATATAATGTATGGTTAAAAAGTAAGAAAAAATTTTGAATTTATTTGTAAAATTATTTTACGGGAAAATGTGTGGTTGAAAATGAGTTTGTGAAAAAAATTGTGGCCAAATATAGACATTCAGTTCAATAATAAAAATGTTTAACATGGGTGAATTGGTTTGGGATCATGCTACACTTACAGAC